CGTCTGTTTACTCACTTGTTCTAAGCTCATCCATGTGTTCCAGGATTGTCCCTCAATGGGCACAAGTGTCTTGGTGTCTAAGGAGAAGGGAGTGTCCACTGCACTTTTGAAATAGCGCGTATCTGTGTGGAGATAAAAATATAAAAGTCATACCTTACACGGGCTTGGAATATTACAATGTACAAAGGTTTTGCACATCTACCGTCTCAGTAAGTTATCATGTTATAGGAATGAGGCGAACAATTGCATTTCCACTAGATACGAGAGGAGACTGAAGATCAAAGAGAAATTGCTTCTCTGTTCACACAACTAAATGCCCAATTGGACATGATCTCCTTCTGTTTTCTCATCCACCTGAGAAAGTCTACTAATCCTTCATGATTCAGGCTATGCCAAACCCTTTTAAACTTTTTCCTAGATCCCACCTACTTACACCCTTTTCCTGGTTCTCCTTTCTTTGTCATAGACTGAATATACTTTCTTGCATTTATCTGTTGACCTGTCTGTTACTGCCACTAAGTTGTAACCTTCCTGTAAGTATGTTACGCTTTGTTTGTATGTGTTGTGTCCTCTGATTGATCCTGACGTGGTAACTGGCACAGAATAGATAGCTTGTCGAATGAATGGACAAAGGAATGTTATCATTATTTATAAGACAAGTTTTTGCCAAAGAAATTTCTACAAATTTATTTCAGTGGGTTAAACCTTCAGAAACCATGAATGCTTCCCTTTTCCCTTGCAATGGCTATCTTATCCATGCTGTAGAAAACTTGCAGAAGCTGCCCTATGTGCTTCAGTTAGAGATAAAGTGGCTATGAGATTAGGGACCAGCAGATGGCGTAATGATTACATCACTGGGCTCCCACGTAGTTGACTGCAGTTCAAGTCCTGTACCAACAGCTTAAACTCACGCTGGGCGCATGTGCGTGTGTGCCCAAAGTCCTGACAGGAGAATGGAGCAGAAGGGATTGTGGCATGGCCAACGCCCAGGAGGTGATTTCTCGCTTTCTGTCTCTCGCTTTCTGTGCACTCTGGCAAGTGCACATACTCTATAGCAAAAATCTCTCTTAAAAAAAAAAATAGGTCTATGTTACTTATTTATTTTGGAGAGGTTTTTGCTATAGGTTGCATGTGCTTGCCAGAAAGAGAGAGAAAGACAGAAAGCAAGAAATTCCCCCTCTCCCCCATGGGGGATGGCCATGCTGCAATCCCTTCTCCTCCATTCTCCTCTCAGGATCTTGGGCACACATGCACATGCGTATGGCATGAGTTTAAGCCACTGGGTCCGGGACTTGAACTGCAGGCAACTCATGGGAGTCCAGTGATGTAGCCATTATGCCAACTGCTGGTCCCAGTGTTACTATTTTTTTAATCTAAAAATTTTATAGTTTTAACTCATACATTTATGATAGATCTATAATCCATTTTCAGTTCATTTTCAAATATGATTTTTTTCATGGTCTATTTATTTATTATACATTTGATCACTGCATATCATTATAGCTTGTAAAATGAGTTTTCTCAGCATTGATACACTATATACTAGTCCAGTTAAAGTTACTATCATACACATTATCCACAGATAATTTTCCATTTTTGTGTCCTGTCATATTTTGCTTCTTTCTTTTTCCCCTTGATTCCCATCCTCTCATCCTCTTCCATTTTCCCCCCTCCTCCTGCCCTGTTTCTAGTATCCACGATTGTTCTCCATGCCTTTATATCTTCCAATATTTCAGTTTCTGACAAAGAGTGTGGACATTGAACATGTATTAAGTGGGGACATATTTTGAATAAGAGCAGCTTCGCTATCCTTTCCTGGTATTATGTAGACCTGCTGCCTGCAGAATGAATCAAACAAGATAAAAATCTTCCCTTTCACTCTACTTTCCCCTAGGATGAACTGCATCTTCACACTCTCCATGTTGCCAACATCACTGCCTGCCCTCCTCTGTCATGGTCGCATTGAATGACAGCACGTTTAGGACTCAAGAAGAGTATCGCTGATTAAAAATAAGAGTTGTAGATCAATGTCAGGTCCTCTGGTGAAAACTTGACATGCATCATTAATGTGCTTTTCAAAAGAATTCTCTAAAGTTAATTCTGTTGTTGTTAATCCTATCATCAGATAGAGTTTTTGCAGGGCGCTTGTGCGTGCCTGCTTAAGACCCCGAGAGGAGAATGGAGGAGAAGGGATTGTGGGTGTGGCCACCCCCCTGGGGGTGATTTCTCACTTTCTGTCTCTCTGTCTCTCTCTGTCTTTCTGGTGAATGCACTCTCCCTATAGCAAAAGCCTCTCCAAAAAAAAGAGAAAGTGAGTTTTTTAGACTTGCTCAAAGTCACTTAGCTAGTAAGTCATGGAGGCAGGGTTTTAACCTATGGTTGTATAATACAGCATCTATTCCTTTAATTGCTATGGAATATTACAGAATGAACATGCATATTCAGATTTTAGGGAGGCCCAACACATTACCTGCATATTCAGACTCCTTTATAGGCCTTGCTGGTAAAATTTTTATTGATTGCCATGCCTCTACCATTTGAAGCTCAGGGTCTTCATAGTCATCATCACTTTGGCCTTTTGCTCCATCCTGCACTGCAGCAAAATTCCTTTTCTAAGAAGGAGGAAATATCTGAGTGAGTCAAAGAAAGGTAAAATGTTGAGAAATATTACCAGCTAGGAATGTGCTAAGATTTTCTTAGTCGGAAGTTGAACATTTAAGAGTCTGAATTTTGGAGTCTTAAATGCAAGTTTAATTCATGTGCTAGACTGAATTCTAAAGATGCCCTCCAAACATTCAGTTATATTCCTATATACTAATAATAAGCAATTTAAAAATAAAGTTAAGAAAACAATTATATTAGCAATAGCTTAAAAAAGAAAATATTTAGAAGTAAATTTAGCAAAAGAAATGCATAGTTTGTATACTAAAAATCTTCAGATGTTGTTGAAAGTAATTTTAAAAAATCAAAATAAATGGAAAGACAACCAATGTTCATGGATTGGAAGATAATACTACTAAAATGTGAATACTTCACAAATTGATGTATTTAACAACATCTTTATCAAAATCCCAGCTACTTTCTTCTTGTTATTTTCAAAATACTTATAAAGTTTCTAAAATACAAGTTACCTGCAATAGTCAAAATAACGTTGGAAAAAAAATAAAGGAAGAAGTTGAAGGGCTCACACTTCTTGATTTCAAAAGTTACTTACTATACAGATGTTGTAACCAATCTGAATGACATTGGCATCAGGAGAGACATAAAACAGCATAGTATGGGCACAAAAACAGGCATGTTTTGGGAATGGATTAGAAACACCAGAAACAAACCCTAAAACATACAGCCAACTGATTTTTTGACAAAGGACACCAGACAATCCAATGGGGGAATAAAAACTCTTAAGCAAATGGTGCTGGAGAAACCGGGTCTCCATCTACAGAAGGATGAAATTGGATCCCTGTCTCTCACAAAAATCAACTCAAAATGGATCAAAGGTCTAAACCTAAGACCTCAAACTATAAAACTACTGGTGGATAACACAGGAAACTCTTGAAGACAATGGAATAGGTAAAGACTTCTTAAATGAACCCCTCCCCTCCAAAAAAAAGCACAGGCAATAATCCTAGAAATAGAAAAATGGGACTATATCAGATTGATAAGCTTCTGCACTGTAAAAGAAACAATAATTAGAGTGAATCAGCAACCCTCAGAATGGGAGAATATATTTGCAAACTATGCCTCAGATAAGGGACTAATAACCAGAACATACAAGGCACTCAAGAGGCTCATCTGAAAAAAATGATCAACCCAATTAAAAGAAGGCCAAATGAGTTGAATAGACAACTCTCTAAGGAAGACATACAACCAAAGAACATATGAAAAAATGCTCATCATCCCTTATTATAAAGGAAGTGCAAGTTAAAACCACAGTGAGATAATAGTCAGTCAGAATGGGTAAGATTAAAACCATACAAAATGGGAGGTGGCAACAGGTGGCAGGTTAGTTGTGACACTGGACTTCCACGTGACTGACCACAGTTTGAGTCTTGGATCCAACGTCTTGAAACTTCATGCCAGGCATTTGTGCATGTGTGCCTAAAATCCTGAGAGGAGAATGGAGGAGAAGGGATTGTGGCATGGCCATAACTCCTTGGGGGTGATTTCTCGCTTTCTTTCTCTCTGTCTCTCTCTTTGTCTCTGGCAAACGTATGTTTCTTATAGCAAAAATCTTTCTAAAAAACAATTAATAAAAAATGATATGTGCTGGTGGGAATGTAAATGAGTATATTCTCTGTAGAGAACAATATGGAGGTTCCTCAAAGACCTAAAAGTAGGGAATCAGCAGTTAGTGTAATGGTTATGTCACTGGACTCCCACGTAGTCGACCGTGGTTTGCATCCCGGATCCAGTGGCTTAAAACTCACGCCGGGCGCATGTATGTGCGTGCCCAAGATCCCGAGAGGAGAATGGAGGAGAAGGGATTGCGGTGTGACCATCCCCCCTGGGGGGTGATTTCTCGCTTTCTGTCTCTATGTCTCTCTCTCTCTGTCTGTCTGGCGAGCGCACGTGCCCTAGAGTGAAAACCTCTCCAAAAAAAAAAAAAAAAAAGACCTAAAAGTAGAACTACCATTTGATCCAGCAATTCCACTCCTGGGGAAAAGTACTTAAATATCCATGTTTATTGTGGCATTCACAATTGCTAAGACAGTGAACCAACTCAAATGGTCCTGTACAGATGAATGGACTGAAAAAATGTAGTGTGTATAAACTATGGAATGCTACTCAGTCACAAAAAATTAACAACAATGAGACCCTGGCATTTGATAGAAAGTGGATGGATATGGAAGAGTTAACACTAAGTGAAGCAAGCCAGACTATGAAATACTAGGAAAAAGAGGCATTGTATGTCTCAACACAATATATACTGAATGTCTGCACTCTGTGTCAGAAACTGCAAGATTGGAAATATAAAAGCATGAGGAACAATTGTGTTTGCTAGAAACATGGTGGAAGGAGGGTGGGAAATGGGGGAGAGTGAGAGGAAGGGAATCGAGGGGAAAAGAAACAAAACATTATGGGACACCAAAATGGAAAATGATCTGTTGATGATAATGTGTATGATAATATCTTTAACTGGATTAAGATACGGTGTATTCATGCTGGGGAAATTCACTTTGCATGGTGTAATGATACACAGTGATTAGATGTATAAAAAATTTAAAAATGAAAAAGATGTTAATATTAAAAAAAGAGACATAGATCATTGTAATATGAGTCAGAATCCACATATAAATCATCACATTCATGGTCAATTGAGTTTTGAGAAGGGAATTGAGAAAAGAAAAAAAAATAGTCTTTGCAACAAATAGCCCCAAGACAACTGGATATTTGTTTGCACAAGAGTGAAGTTGGACCTTATTTTACATCATATACAAAAATTAGCTTCAAATTAGCTATGCACCTAAATGTAACAGATAAAACTATAAAACAATCACCCCCCGGGGAGATGGTCATACTGCAATCCCTTCTCCTCCATTCTCCTCTCGGGATCTTGGGCACTCACGCACATGCGCCCTTCGTGAGTTTAAGTCACCGGGTCCACAAACTGTGGGCGATTACATGGGAGTCCAGCAACATAGCCATTATGGTAATTGCTGATCCTGGTAATAGTTTCTTAGACATGATACCAGAAGCATAACAAAGAAAGAAAAAAAATGTACTAATTTGATTCACTAAATTAAAAACTTGTATGGAGGCTAGCAGGTAGCATGGTGGTTGTGACACTGGACTCCCATGTGGTTGGCTGTAGTTCAAGATCTGGACCCAGAAGTTTGAGAATCATGCTGAACACATGTATGTTCATACCCAAAATCCTAAGAAGAGACTAGAGATTTGTCATTGTCACGGGCATGCCCCTGAGAGTGAGTTCTCACTTTCTCTCTTTCTGTCTCTATTGCTGTCCAGAAAGCACATGTGTTCTATGGCAAAAACCTAAATAAACAAACAAATAAACAAAAATGGAGATATTTATGTGCTTCAAATGACACTAAAAGAAGATGAAAAGACAACTATAATATGTAGAACATATCTGCAAGCTATAGGCTAACAAGGAGCTTGAATCCAGGGTCTACGAAATAAACTCTTACAACTCAATAACAAGCAGAAAAAATATATAAAAATGGCCAAAGGACCTGAATAGATTGTTATCCAAAGAAGATACATAAATCACCATTAAGTTTGTGAAGAGATGCTTGTCATCATTAACTCTGGAGTAAGTGCAAATTAAAACCACAATTCCAATCCCACTCGCACCCACTAGGCGGCGACAGACTAACAAGGACTGGAAGGAGTGTGGAGAAATCAGACCCCTTCTGCATTGCTGGTGGAAGTATAGTCGGGTACAGCCACTGTGGAAAGCACTTTGATAGTCTTAAAAAATTTAAAAATACACTAACATACATCCAACAGCTTCAAATTCATGCTTATAGCAGCATTAGGCATAGTAATATAAAAGTGCAAATTACCCAAATAGCCATAAGTAACCCTAGTGTTTACCCTGGATGAACAGTTACATAAAATATGACGTAGTTACACGATGGACTCAGCAACACAAAAACCTGAAGTACCGCTACACACCACAAGGTAGATGAGTCTTGACAAGACAATGCTAAGTGAAAGAAGCCAGGAACGAAAGGCAACCTGTTGTGTAATTCCATTGATATGAAGTCCAGAATAGGAAGATCTAGAGAGCCTTAGAGTCATGGTTACCAAGGGCAGGGGTGGGGGCAGATTGAGAGGGCTGCCATGGCTACAGCGTTCCATCTGTGATGATGGAATGTTCTAACACTGATTGCGGTGATGTCTGCCCCACTCTGCAAAGACTCTAAAAGCTATTGAATTGTTCCGTTTAGGTAGGTGAATTGAATTTATATGTATTATATCTAATACAGTTCTATTAAAAATAGAAAAGGAAGTCAGAGAGAGAAGGTAGAAGAGAAAGGATGAGAGACCTGGCAGGAAGGAAATTCAGGAGACTTCCAAGAGTGGAAGGATTTGACACCTGACAGCCAGCAGGGAAATGGGAACCACAGTCTTGCAACAGAAAGGAACTGGGTTCTGCCAACAACCTCGGTAAACTTGAAGCAGCTTTGTTTTCCCTCAGAGCCTCTGGGAGGGCAGCAGCCTTGCCAACACCTTGTTTTCAGTCCTCCGTGACCCAGAACTGGGGGGCCAGCAAGCCGTGCTGTGCCCAGACTTTTGCTTCATCACACTGTGCAATAATAAGATTTAGAGACAGAGAGACAGAAAGCGAGAAATCACCCCCCGGGGAGATGGTCATACTGCAATCCCTTCTCCTCCATTCTCCTCTCGGGATCTTGGGCACTCACGCACATGCGCCCTTCGTGAGTTTAAGTCACCGGGTCCACAAACTGTGGGCGATTACATGGGAGTCCAGCAACATAGCCATTATGGTAATTGCTGATCCTGGTAATAGTTTCTTAGACATGATACCAGAAGCATAACAAAGAAAGAAAAAAAATGTACTAATTTGATTCACTAAATTAAAAACTTGTATGGAGGCTAGCAGGTAGCATGGTGGTTGTGACAC